TATAATAATTAACACATTGCATATTGTTGTTTTCATAGCAGTTATTCAAAGTACAACATACAGACATGATATTGAAAGGTATAATGCAATTAAATGGAAAATGAGAACTTAAGGATTGAACAATGAAGAGAGGAGGGCAAGGAGAAAAGCTAGGAAGCATGGCAAGGGCAAAACCATACATTTATACACACAAGATGGTTAAGGCAATGGCCCAGAGAATCTCCATCAGGTTTTTGAAACTAGCAGTTAATTGGTAGGATTCTCACCCTGACTAACTACATATGCTGATACCTGTGAACTAAGCAACTGCACTGAGGATAGCAATGTGTAATACTAGGGCCATGCTTGGAATGCCTGTCATTCTAGTCTTCTAAATGCATACTGCTTCTAATGTCATATCAATTATTGCTATACTCTCTCTCAAGTAAATGCTTGTTTTAAAAAAAGGTAATAAAAGAAAACAAGAGACAAAAAAAAAATGTCATAGGACTGCCCTGCTATGTTTTATATGGTTAGATTTCTAAATTTCTGTGTAAAAATATGCAATTGGTTATATTTATTTTATTATTTTTTATTTTTTCACATTCTATAGGGATTTAAAGTTTAGCATATCAACGTTGTTGGAAAATACCTGTTTGATGTTATGTCTAAGGCATTTGCTATTCAGACAGAAAGTGATGTTAAGCTCAAATGCCTATGTTATAGGGTAATAATATCATTAAGCTCTTCTGGAGGGTTAACAACTTGAGTTTGCAGACCAAAAAATTAGAGAAAAAGAAGGGCTACAAGGATAGCCAATGTTTTGGCCCTAGCCCTTCAAGGTCAGTGAGGACTCAGGACATAAGAGAACCTATACTGTAACATCCTATAATCAGTGGTATCTCAAATTATCTGTTCAAGGAGATTATGGGACCACAGAGGAAAGTGATCGATGCTGTATAGTTGGCCTAAGGAGAGTCACCTAGAGAGAAAACATTTTCTCAGGCTTTCACAGAGAGCAAATTGGTCAAGCAACGGCCCTGACTCATCCATCCGGATAGCTGACACTGACAAAAGATCTACAAACTGCTGTACATGGTTTCAGGGTAAATCCTGAGGGGATTTGACTGACCTTGTCAAATACAAAAGTTAGATTTTTGCTATATAGGTCTTGCTTTAACTTGGTCTTAACCAAGAGAAAAATATAAACACAAGGTATAAAAATTAAAGCCATATTAATATGTTTCTTGCCTTTAATGTCTTCTCTCATTTTAGAAATAGACCTACCCAATAGTTTCATCTGTTATTGTCTTAATTAATGAATACATATATAATGAATATATATATAATGAATATATATATTTATATAACTTCTTGAACTTTTAAACTTTTCTGGGCTTTAGTCTCCTCATTTCTAAAGTGGTATGAAAAACACTTGGTTCTCTGGAAGTTGATTCTCAATAAATGACAAAAATCTTCTTTCATCTACCATTCCTTGTGTAATCATAAAATAGCTTCCCACATATTGTTTTTCCTCTAAATATCCTAGTACAGTTTGAAGTTAGCCTGGTTTAGTCATCTACTATGTGAGTTTGGACAAGTTGCTTAGAGTCGCGGTTTGTCACAACCTGCTTCCTAAAGCTATAAGATTAAAACTCAGATGACAGCTGTCTGGAGACCCTGGCAGAAGGCCTGGTGCATGGTGGGAGCTCAGTGCAAGTTGCTTTCATCTTCCTAAAGCACCAGCCGGTTATTCACTTGCAGAGAAATGTCTATTGCTTTGGATATTATACTCCTTTACTTATTTATGCTCCTCATTCTAAAAGGATTTTAGGCAGCTCATAAATATATCTGCAGAATAAATTAGTCCTGGTAAGGAAAAAATAGCGTGAAGTAATAGAAGTTATCACTGGCTGCTTTCCTGTAATAAATTCAAAAGGAGTTCATAAGGCTGATCCCTAAAGCAACCTACAGTTGTATGAATCCAAAACATACAGAGAAGGAACAATATTTTTCTAGAGAGATCAAGATGAAATGAAATCCCACTGTGCAGTTTAATTTCACCCAAAAGTAAATTTAAAATATCTTCAGGTATGGATAGGTTGACCATCATTTTTACTTCTTTAAAAATTTTACATATATAAGAAAATATGAAATGTTATAAGCAAGCTTCTATGTCTACTACTCAAAATTATATTCATATTTCATATTCACCATATTTTCTTCCAATATTTGTTAAAGAAACAAAACTCAACAGCCAAAGTCCTGTTGAACTACTCCACATCGTAGTAAATGCTAAGGAGCGTAATAGATCCTTCCAGATAGTTAAATGCATATGTACATATAGAAAGTTTTTATATAGGCTGTGTGTAAGTTGTAGAATATGGTATGTGCCATTGTCAGTCCTGCTTTTCAATTCAACATTGCATTCAGGGCTGCAGACACAGTTACACATGGGTGCCATACCTTGTAGAGGCAGCATGATGAACTAAGTTGTGTCCTCTTACCCCTTTTCCACATCTGAATGTTAAAATCCTAGCTCTCAGTGCCTCATAATGTGCCTGCATTTAGAGATAGGGTCCTTAAAGTGATAATTAAGTTAAAATGAAGCCACTGAGATTGAGTACTAATCCAGCATAATTGGTATCCACTATAAAAGCCAAGGAGAGAGCCCTTGGAAGAAATGCCTCGTACTGACAACTTGGGCTTGGCCTTCTCACCTCCAGAATCCTGACAGAAAAGCTGTTAAGGCTACTCAGTCCCTGAGACTTTGTGATAGCAACCCCAGCAAGCTGGTATAAATAGCAAAGGTTCGCTATTTCCAGATTGCAAAGCCTACAGTATTTGTAGGCTTTCACCTCTTCATGGATATTTAAGTTGAAATCAACCACAAATACACAGCCATTTAGGTATGTCCTTATGTACACATATGGTACTATCCCTTGGGAAACACCTAGGAATTAAACTGCTATGTTATGGGGCCACATTTTCAAATCCCAAGGTGCTATCAAACAGGTCTCTAAGTGCCTGTATGAAGTTATATACTTTAAACACACATTGCCTATTCTTAGTTTTTCTTCTACAGATGTTCAGTTCATATCCTTTGCCTATTTTTCCTTGGGTTATATATATTTTTCTACCTGACTTGTAGGAGTTACATACACTCAAGATAATAACCCTCTCTGCTAGATGCTCTACAAATCCCTTCCTCCTGGCCACCAGCTGTCATTTCATCTTGTTCATGTGTTATTTTGACAAATTTTTAAAAAATGTATCAGTTATTCAATTAAGTTCTTAGTAAGAAATTTAGAACACTAATTCATGAGGATAAATTCCATTTGTCAGAGCAAAAACAGATGGCAGGTAGCCCCAGAGCTGAGGAATAGCTTTGATTTTTGCTAAAATCTGTGAGTCCACTGCTTTCTGATCCATCTTGCGCTGCTCTGAAATCTGGTATCTCTCTTTCTCGGTGTTAAAGATCTCGCCCTCCTGGTGTCTGGGCTTCCGCAGCTTCTTCTTCTTAAAGTAAGCATCAGTGAGGTGTTTGGGGATTTTCACTTTGCTGACGTCAATTTTTGTAGAGGTGGCAATGACAAATTTCTGGTGTGTTCTTTGTAGAGGAACACGATTAAGGCTCAGAGGCCCAGTCACAAGTAGCAAGCCACTCTCCAACTGCTTCAGGAAGACCACTCTCTTGCCTCTGTGACGCCCGGTGAGGATGATCAAGATGGTGCCAGGAGTGATGCTAGCTCCAAGTTTCCTCACATGCTGACTGAAGGGTTTCTTGCTGTAGCTCAAGAGCTTTTGGGGCACATCTCCAGTAGGGTAGTATCTAGGCATTTTTCAAAGCTTAACCACCTGGGTACCTCCATTCTTGTCCTTACTGACTGATTTTGTGATAGAAGAACTTTCTTTCTTTTTCTTCTCAACCTTTGATTTAGCAGCTGGGTACTTTCTCTTGTACAAAGCTTTTCTGGAATACACAGCAGATTGGGAGTATCTATCAATTCCTCTAGCCAGGACAGGATTTCGGCTGCTCCTTCTTGGACTTTTTGCTTTCACCTTAGTGTTTTTACCAGGACCACTGGCAGCAGCCTTCTTGGCTTTGGGTTTCTTCTCTTTAGTGTCTGGCTTCTCAGTTTTTTCACCCTCCATCTTGCAAGATGGGAAAGAGAACTAAGTCTTTTGACAAAAGGTTTTTAATTACATATAATTGGGTGTACTTCTATTTATAGTTTGTATTTTTTTTTTGTATTGCCTTAAAGAAAATTTTTCTTATAAAACCTGTGAAAGTGTTTTATCATTTTTATTCTAATATTTTTACTGTATTTCTCCTATGGTTAGATATTTAATACATCGTTAATTTATACCCATGATGAAGAGAAACAGAACATTTCTTTTTTTCCATTTGAAAGTTATCCCAACACCATTTACTGAAATATCAAATATTCTAATCACTAAAAAATACCATAAAGCACCCACAAATCATCTCATTTTGAGCAGCATAATTTCCTGATAAATCCTCCATAATGTATTAGAAGAAAAATGCACCCCTAGGTAAGTAAATAAGCTGAGCTAAATGGATAGTTGGAGATGAGCCAAGCAAATGCTAGAGGTTGTTTGCCAAAAAAAAAAAAAGGTTTTGATATTGTAAGATTTGACAGGACGTTCTCCTGCCTGACAGCCACTGGACAGCAGGACAGGTGTCTCCTGAGTGATGACTACACTGTGTCAGTGGCACTCAGGAGAAGACTTGTCTTTGCATTGTCCCCACCAAGCGAATCGCCCACCAGAGCAACCATCCCTAGAATCACGTGATGCAGCATGGACTCTGAGGATGGCAGACAGGGCTTTTGTGGGGAAACGAATTTTTCACTGAATTCTCCCTTTGCCTCACTTAAGTTCTTTTGATCATACTGCTTGTATTATTGATTCAACATGATTTTTTAAAAAACTATAACATTCAATGTATTATTTCTTTCTCAGAGAGTTTTCTTCAGTCCATTAAGACTGAGCTCCCCTTACATGGGCTTTGGAGGAGGTCGTGGGGCAGCACCAGCAGGTCTAAATCGGGGTAGAGGAGTTCGGTCCTTACGGGCTTCACGAGATCTATTTCTGACCACTTTGCTGGGAAGGGCACAACTCACACAATAATGCAGCTTCACATACAGCTTGGGAAGCACAAAACCTTCGAAGACACTCACTTCGGAAATGTCCCTGATGGCAGCAGCCTCCACTATGTTCTGAATGACAAACTTCTTAATGGCCTTATCCTTGGGTACACACCGGGCGCAGTTTGAGTAATGAATAGGCTGCATATGACCGCGGCCCTTTGTGGCACGACCGTTGTTTCTTTTTTTTGTCATCTTGGAAAGGAGGACCCAAAAACTCAACATAATTTTTAAGTGCCAAAGAAACACTAATATGTCATTAAGATACTAAAGAAAATGCCTTAAAAAAAACAACAACAACAACATAAGGGGTGAGAACTTTAGGAGCGGAGGGGCTCATAATTTACATAGAAATTATAGTTCATCTTCATATTCTGATTAATTTGCATTGCTGGTTGACTAATTTCTTATCCACCAAACAGTGGTTCAAACTAAGTCTTCCTCAGAAGAGATAAAAGGAATGAAATGAAAATATTCTTGTTGAACATGGGATTTCCCCAGGGTTCTCCCCTGAAAAACCTTTCTTTAAGGTCAATTTATTTGAGAGTTGGAGATACCTTGTAATCATCTTTTGCACTTTCTTCATGTAGAAGTATTGTCCCCACTTCAAAATTCATATGGATTCAGCCCATGTCAGGAAACATCACCTAAGCACCTGAGAGGGGCAGGCGACTTGGGGACAGTGAGACCCGAGTGGGAAGGGGATATAATGGAAAGTCAGGGGAGGTTGCAGAGGAAGGCAGGGAGGAAGCAGGCTGGCAGGTTGTGGGTAGGGATGCTCAGTGCAGGGGCTGCACCAGGCACCTGTAGGCCATAGCAAGGAATGCAGGGTGAGTTGTTAATGCCCAGTGGACCTTTCCAAGTTTGGACTTGGGAGTCCATGGGGAAGTGGTTCAAGGGTTTGACACAGCACACTGACACATTTGGAATGAGCTCTCTGGTCAAAGTGAGGCTTGAGATAGGACATGGTTACATCCAGGAGGCTGTGTATGAGATCGGCATAGCCACACAGGGAACGCATGACAGAATGCATGTCGTGGGGCAGAGAGGAAGACAGAATCACCTGGATGCTGGGGGGAGGGGGGAGTGTCTGGGAGGTTCCTGGAGTGTGGGGTTACATATGTGAGAGAGGCTGGCTAACATGCTATCCCATAGAGCAAAGAGGGTGAGATGAAGGAGCTGGGACAACAGGTAAAAACTTCTGCTTGGGGAACGTTGTATTTGAAGTATGTGTACCTCGTCAAAAGTGGAAATGCACAGCATGCAATGGTCCATTCGGTTGTGGAGCTCAGGAGAGACGTGGGATTGGAGAGCTGTGTGGGTCCGTGGTCAGGGAAAGGAGAATGATGGGGAAGCCCTGGGAAAACACAATGAGAAGAGGAGGATCTCAAGTGAGCAAGGAAAGGACCCAGGAAGTATATTGGGATGGCTCAGCAGAGAGGAAGGAAATGAGTTGGGACATGGGGACCAAAGAAACCAGGGAGGGGGTTAAGAGGCAGAATTATGAGTAGGATCAAGCTCTGTGCAGAGAAGGAACTAAGGGAGTGGGGACTGCTAGATGTGGCAACTAGCAGGTCATCAGGATGGTGAGGAAGGTGCTTCTGGGGATGAGTGTAGCAGAAATCAGGTAGTAAATGGGCGGCAAGAGGCTGGAGCCCAGCAGCTGAGGACCTCCTCCCAGGGCCTGCTATGACGATGGAGTGTGAGCCACTGCCAAATGAATCATCTTCCTTATTCAGATGAGTGACACAGCAGATGGCAGATCCAGGGAGTCTGGGTCCCTACTGGACAGTAGAAGCCCTGGGGTATTCTTTTTTTAATACCTAAACCAAAGCCACATTTAATTGGTCCAGGTTACGGTGTGGGCAAAAAAATATTTTTAAAGCTCCACATGCATGGCTAGGAATCGCTGTTCTACCTAGTCTCTGTCTCTCTGTCTCTCTGTCTCTCTGTCTCTCTGTCTCTCTCTCTGTCTCTCTGTCTCTCTCTCCTCTCTCTGTCCCTGTCTCTCTGCCTCTGTCTCTTTGTCTGTCTGTCTGTCTGTCTGTCTGTCTGTCTCTCTCTCTCTCTCTCCCCAAGGAATGAACCAGGACTCCACCCTCAGCAAGTTCTCTATCAGTATGCTACATCCCAAGCCCTTTATTTTATTTTTTTGAGACAGTTATCATTAAGTTGCTTATGCTAGCTTCAGTCTTGCAATCCTCCTGCCTCAGCCTTCTGTGATGTTACAGATGTGCATGCCACTGGGATTGAGAGTTATTTCCTATTTTAAGCAACAAAAGACAGAATTAGCTGCCTCCAGGAGAAGTCCGATGACTTTCATGTTGATCCATTTGTCCAGACATACAGGAGAGCTTAGTAAAGGAAATTCCCATGTGTCTGTGCTGAAATCAGGGGACCAGGGCGGGAAATATGCTGAGCATCCCAGAAAGTAAGAGAATGGTCCCCCAAGTTCTGTCTTTACTCACTGAACATCCTTCTGACAATAAAGATTTGGTTGGTGACATAGCTCAGCGGTCTAAAATACCTGTTTAGGCAAGTGCAGGACCACAGGCCATGGTTTGATCCCTGGCATGCTGCACCAGCCGCACCCCAGGGCAGGCTGACTGGCCACACACACACATACAAAGATTTGGTGACTTTATAGTTTAAATATAATATATTTCAAATTTTTAAAGGAATCCATATGTAGGGCAGAGAAACTTAAACACTAAACAACTTCTGCTGCAGTGGCATACTCCAGCCAACCACTTGGCAATTTCTGTGTTGTTTCTGCTGCCCATTACCTCTGTACCCCAAATAATATTCTCTTTGAAGTTCCACTCTTTTTCTCTGCCCTACCCTTCTTCCATTTTCTCACAGGTGCTGTTCCCCAAAACACTCGCCCAAAGACATCTGTCTCAAAGCCTGTTTCCCAAGGAACCAATCTTCCAACCATACTTTTATTTCTTACCCAGCATGGTGCTATAAACACCTGCACCCACACAGACTTGGCGCCTGCAGGGACCAGGAGCTGCGGTGGGAGGTGGGGTTTTAGGACAGGAGCTGGGATGAGAGGTGGGGTTCACTTCCAGAGAGGCAGGAAGAGCTGGGTAGAGGACCAGAGCAGGAAGCGAATTCAGTCAGGGATAGCAGGGGAGCTCAAAGAGAGGACTTTGGCTCTGGCTGCTGGGTGGGTGTAGGAGGCAGAAGGAGGGTGACAACGGTGGTGACTGAATTTGCTCAGGAAGAAGAGTGCTGCATCTGGCAATGTGGTTTTCATTACACTGTACATGTTCTAAGAGCCCGGGTGAGGAATGAATGATGGAGACCACTAAAAAGTGGCTCTGAGCAGGATTTAATATTAACCAATGGCTTTTCATATTTACGTGTGAGTTTGCCCGAGACTTAGGCCCTTCTCTGGAGATGGGCAGTAGACTTGGTAAATGAACCTCTGTGAGTCCCTGGTCCCCACTGAGGTATTGGCCTGTGAAGTTGACAAGAGCAGGCCACAGCTGAGGACGTTTGGCTCCAAACCCAATTAACTAATAGGAAGCTGAAGCTGCAGGCTCCACACTCCTACAATAAATGCCAGACTAAAGATAAAAGGTAGCCCTCCTGATGGACATGATTTACTGCTTGGGAAAATATTTCCCAAGGGCCTACTAGATTCCCATGTTTTCTTCAGTATCCCCTGCCTTTGTTTGAAAATCAAATAAATACAGGCTACCCAGAGAAGCTCTTGGTCAGAACCCAGAGAATCTCAAAAGCTATGAGAAGGTTTTTGAACCTCCTAGAGCCCTAATATCAAACCACTTGTCTCATTGATTTAAGCCTTCACCATCCATTCATTTTGGAGATTGAGGGCCTGATCAGCCTGCAATAACTAAGGGATATTATTAATCTGAGAGGTGAGCGTGGACCCAGACAGAAAGATGAGCAACAATGACAATGTTATAGAATAATCAGATTGATGACTCTGTTTGCTACAATTCACTTAAGTTCCTGCTAATTTAAACTAGAATTAATTTATGAGGATCTACACTATAAAGTGGAGGTTGGCAGAAGAAGCCAGCTTTCTGAGGCCAGCACTGCTAAGGACATCCCATGCCAAGTTGGTTAAATTTAAATGCAGATCCGTTGTATATGATACAAGCCAAGTCTGGACATGGGCAAGGCAGAGGCTGTCCCGGTTGTTCTGTAGTCATTGGGAATTCAGTTTCCATCAAGACTGGGGTCTGCCTCATGGTCCTAGTGGTTGCTGGAGTTCCAGCCTTTGTATTCTCACCAGAGGGAAGACAGAGGAAGAGGCCATGGTGAGCTGCAGAGGGGCTTGGTGACCCACGCATCCAGCTAAAACTGAGAGTTCCAGTAGTAAGACAGAAAGGAAGAGCAAGCACAAGGGGGTATCGGTGGCATCTGATATACCTGTCCTCCCATATCCCTACCCCTGTACCTGCCCTTCATCTGCTCACTCAGCCCCACTCTAGTGCCAGCTGATACCCACATAGAGGCATCATCAGTGAGACTGCATCCATGGTCACTGCTGCGGGTCTGCTGCCCAGCTCTTCTGGGCCTTCAGGCTGGAGAACTGGACTTCTGTCTGTTTCCCCCAGTGCTCTGGCCTGCACAAGGCTGGGCTGTGTGGATCCTCCTGATGCTGTATCTCAGGAGTCTTGGGGGTTGGGCTCTCTCTCTCTCTCTCTCTCTCTCTCTCTCTCTCTCTCTCTCTCTCTCTCTCTGCTGTGTCTTCAATCTCTCAGACACAGACTGGGGACCGCTGCTGATGGGCCAGGTCCCAGAGCCAGGCCACAGGGCTTTGCAGTGGCTTCCTGTCCTGACTTTCCTATGAAGTTGCTCAAGCTACATCTGAACCTGATATGGCATTACCATCTCAACAGTGACACAGACAGGTGAGCAAAACCTTTTTCCCCCTCACAAGGACTAATTCCAAAAAACATCCCAATATTTTAGGAGCTATTTCCAATCAGAAAAGGAAAACTTGAGTCCTGCAGGCAAATTAACACACTCATAGTGAGCTCTCCAGCTTTGAGAGGTCCACAACCTCCGAGTTGAGTGTGGACCGTACTCTTGGTTCTCTCTTGCAGGTGATTTCAGCATCTGACTTACTATTTCTGAGCCTTGGCTTCCACATTTGTACCATCCTTGCATGATACCCATCTTTCCAAGTTTATGGAAGATGACAGAAGATTAAA